ATTGTCTTGTGCTATTTAAGAAAAAATAAAATATGAGTATAAAATACATGGGTGACTGACAACAAAGTGCATTTCAAAGCTACCCAAAGTCTAAATAGTTGTCCTACCTCAAGAAGCATGTCCTTGATCTGCCTGATTCTCACTCCCTTAGCTCCTCCCCTTGATAAAATGACATCCATCAGTTTTGGGGTGCAATTGTCAAGTGTAGCCATTCAAGGCTTACAGTGGTTATTCTCTTGAACTCCTCCTTTATCTGTAGAACACACAAATAGAAGAATTAAACCTTGCAGACTATTAGCTACACTGCATTAATGAATGCTCTAATACATTATTTAAAGAGGATAGAAGTGATCTAAGGCTACCCCAAGTTTTGAGGGAAGAAAACAATCTTGGTGAAGACGAGGGAGACTTCCCCACCATAACCGTGGTGTAATCTCTAATGTTTTAGCAACCCTGTTTTTGCAGAGGTTTCGAATTTACACATTGTTCACTCCCAGCCCATTTTGTAAAAAATGTATAGGTCATGCAAGTTTTATAAAGACATAAAATAGGTGAGCCAGATGGAAAAAAGAAGCCTCTAGGTTATCCTCTGACAAAACTATTCACAGTTTAAAGGTTTCTAATTTTGGTAAAAAGAAAAACAAAATTAGCCTAAGATCGAAATTAGATTGCACTGTATAGCAAAACTTTAACCACGCTTTTCCTAGCCACAGTTGCACTCTCTAGCTGAAGCTGAAGACTCAAATGAAACTTTATAAGTCTTATCCTCTGCTGTGCTAAAGTTTAGAATGGCTAGCATTAGCTACATGTGGTAGTGCAAAGTATTTCCTTATCTGTATGAGCATCACATCATACACAAATCCACTACAGGTGACTAGCACAAATGCTTTGCTTTGGTAGAACTGTTATTTGTAAATCAAATGTTACTTACCTTGAAATGTCTTTTACAAAAGCTTGCACCATGCAACCCAACATGTGTGAATTTGCCCGGGCTAGTTAAGTCGGTAGGGGAGGGAATTTGAAATCAGAAGAAAAAAAATAAGTTATCTATTCAATTTCTTTAAGTAATTACAACTTGAATTTTATTTTGAACCCACTAACATTGGGATTTAATTTCAAATTACATATAAAATTAATTTAATGTAATTACCAACATTATTAATTCAACACAACCCAAAAAATAAAGTTTGCAACTTAGAAGGTCTATCTTAATCAATAAATTAGAATTTTTATGTTGCAGCTATGGATTTAATCAAGTGGTGGTAAAAGGCCTGATGAATTACTTTTTAGAGTGTATTTGAAACGATTTAAATAACAATAATAACTAAAAGAAATTAAATTCTTCAGCGTTGTATCATACCTCTGTGCAAATCACAAGTCGACAGTTTCTCCACTATGCCACGGATCAGCTCGACAGTTTCGAGTTTACCTGGATGCATCCTGTTCGCTCGGTCAGCTGATTCAGGAAACACACCCACGTAAATTAGTGATACTCACAGTTCAGTTAGGAGCAAACCGCCTGACTAAACAGCACACTGGCCGACAGAGACAACCATTCAGTGAAAATGACAAATCTACGGATGCAACATCTGGAACACGCAGAGGAATTTCAACAAATATAACCAGTTAACCTAAAACACCGGCATTTAAACTGCAGTAAATGACTTGTTGGTCTATAATTTGTGAATTATATGTCAAATGTATCCCTCGTGAATGATATCATCTTGACCAAAAACAACATTATTAAGCGGCCAAAAAGCGCTGGATTGGTAATAACGTAGGTAGAATACCGAGGTCATGAAGATTCTCACATAACGTGCTTTAAAAAAAAAAAATAATAATAATTATGTATGACCTCTTTGTAAATCCTGCTCATGAAAACATAAATGTAAGTAAAGACATTACACATAAACACAAAATTACTTTTTACCACGTCTAAGGTGCACCCCGCGATCTGCCCTATATTGCATGTAGCTGTTAAAACAGCGGATCAACAGCTTCAGGCATAACTGTGTGTGTAGTGGTTAAAACTTGGACTCACCATTAGTGGTGTGCGGATCGATACTGAAATATCGATTCTTCCGATACCAGCAATTTATGTTCTAGAATCGATTATCATATTATAATATCGATATTTTAGTACTCTGGGGTAAATTTGTAGTTTTTCCATTAAAATGAACGCAGTGGAAAGAAACTATACAATTCGGATCGTCTAATTTGGAAGGAACTACTTCCTCTTACGCCTTTCATAGTCATATGCGGAATACGGCTGTATAAATGTGTCGCAGCCCCTGGCGCACACTCACAACAATGGCTGAGCGCAAACAGAGTCCTGTGTGGACACGTTGTTGTGGCAACACTACTGACCTCGTCAAACACCTCGGAGTAAATCACATCACAGAATATGATAAGCTTATGTTGAGGCGAACTGAAGAGGAGGACAGGGACAGGTGCTGCTAGGGCGAGACAGATGTCTCTCGCAGAGTCCTTTAGTGCTGCAGGCAGGCAACATGCTCAAATAGCGCACAACATCAGTTTTTTTTTATTTCTATATGATTATTCTGCATTATTAAACAATAAAAACAAGTTGTCTGTCCTCTAATCATTATGAAGCAATATGGTTATGTTATTATTACAATTACATAATACAATTATATATTGTATTATGAAATGCAATGAAACATTACGTTTTTGTACAGAGTATCGGTATCGGATCAGTATCGCCGATACCACCCTGAATTTTACTTGGTATCGGATCGGAAAGGAAATCAGTAGTATCGCACATCACTACTCACCATTACGACTTCCCATAACACTGCTTCTTGTGTTTGTCAGTGTTTGAACAGTTGCGATTAAACTGTGTACTGCTCTCTAGTGGTCTAATGTTTGTATTACACACAGAGTGACTTCACAGTAGGGTTTCTCATGCTGTGTGTGGTGTTTTTCAGTCCCAACTCCATCCACCGAGGAAGATCATGTAATAAGGTTAAAAGCTGAGGAGCTGTCAGACTTCTGTTTGGACTTTTCATCCATCAATGTAAGTGTACATCAAAACAAAGACATTATAATTCATTGGTACTTTTCATATTTTAATTTGTCATTTTAACCACATAAAACACTTAAGCAGACACACATTAGAGGATAAAACTGATTAAAATAAAGTGAGGAACATCTTCCTGCATAGTGTTACAGTCATTTAAAGAGCGGCTGATCTAAAATAAAATGCTTAACTGTCATGTTTTTGGTTGTTTTGTGTAGTTCTATTCAGCTGAGAAGGTGCAGTAGATTCCCAGTGATCACTAGAGTAGCGGCCACAGTCCAGCTTCTCCAGCCCCACCAAGGCCATGTGATCAGGGGCCAGACGTGGGATTCCACGTCTGATGGCCGGGCGGAAGTAGATTCTATCAAAGCGGCAGCGAGCGACAAAGGGAAAAGTTTTGTTGTTGTTGGCAGAGGTGTCCCACGTGTAGCGGCAGTGCTCCTGTTTGCCCAGTCGCTCCCACACATCACAGACAGTTGCAGGCAGGCCCACCTTGGTCACCTGAGACGGGTCCAGAGAAAAGAATTACTGTGATTACTTGTTACAAGTTTACTGGCTGTATCTGAGTGGAAGGAGCAGCGTCTGACCTCCGCATCCCTCAGGTTTGTGTCTCCCCCAAACACAACGGTGACATCATCAGGTGCATGTTTCAACCTCCGCTTCACCACATGCAGCTGTTTCATCCGCTCTGCAGTATTTTCCTTACAGCTCTCAAAGTGGGATGTCATCAGGCACAGCTTCTGACCGTTGACGATCACCTGAGTTTTGGAAACGAAAATGTTCCTGAGCATCACTTATGGAGACGAAAAAAATATCAGAGATGATTTTGCACACACCTGAGCGACCAGCAGGTTCCTCCTCATCTTAGTGGTGGGATAAGCTACCATCTCGCTCTCCACAAGTTTGACTCGTGACTTTTTCAGCAACATCCCTGTGAAGCAACCGTTCCGACCACCTGATCAACACAAAAGGAAGAGAAAGATGGAGACTTTTAAGCTTTGGTTCCCCTTCAAATCAAATCTTAGTCAATGATTGTTTATTCCTGAGTATTAGTTCCTAGCTCTTCTTCCATGTTTCTAGTTCTGTTCCCTGGTTGATCTTAGTTCCCTTAGTGATCCCTGCCTTCCCTGTTGTGTCTCTGTGTCTGCATATGTTCCCTGTCTTGTCTAGTTAATATGTCTGTAGTCCTGTTCGCATGTTTTTCTCTGTGTGTTTTGTCCTTTTGCCTCTCCAGTCTGTTTGTGTTCCATGTCTTTTTATTCCCAGTCTCAGTTTTTAGATCATGCGCCTTAGTCTGTGTCTCAGTGTTTGTGTTACTTCCTGGATTTTTTGTCTTGTGTATGCTGTTCAGTCTGTCTCGTTAGTCAGATTTTGTTCACCCTTGTTCCCTGGTGTGTCCTATCTCCTTGATTACCTCATGTGTACTTAAGCCCTTAGAGTTTGTTCAAAAACAGTGAAGGAAGAACGCAGATGTTACTAATATTGACTAAAGTCCTTAACAGCTCTCTTCATGTGTTACATGAAGTCAAGCAAAGCAGCTCAGCTGCATTCAGCCATTAATCACCATTTGATCATTCATACCTGTGCCTTTCCTACCTGTATCTATCTGACATACTGTACCTTCAATCATCAGGTAGTTGACGAGCTGTTCCTTCAAGAACTGGACATAAGGGGGAACGAGCTCCTGCAGGAACACCACATCAGGGTTGTGTCTGTATTTACAGAGATTTGCTTAATAATATTAAATGTCACATATGTGCAGCTTTTAGGAAAATGTTGCATTTTCTCCAAACGATGCCTAAAAGTGTGAAAAGTGTAACAGGTACTTACAAGTTTAAATATTTAACCAGGCCTCTGGAACGCTCTGGACGTTTTTCCAAATCAAGCCCGTCCACATTCCAGGTGATCAGGGACAGTTTAAAATCCTCTTCTTCTGAGGGTTTCTGTGTACAGCAGGACTGGCAGCAGGACTGTGTAAGTTTTTCACAGTCAGTCAGCTAAAATACAAAGAGTCATAGGTAACCTTCACCATACATAGGAGAACAGACAGCAGACTTACCAGTCATCTGGAGTAGTATCTTCACCACTGTGTGTTTCAGAGTCGCTCTCCATGTCTGCTTCAACAAGTTAGCTCAAGGATCTCTGAAGGAAAAGTCCCAGGAAGGTTATGCTTTCTAATAATTTACTATAACTTTACAAACATGGCTTACTGGAATGCACCCAGGCAGTTTCTCAGTATGTTTATTTGACTTTTTGTGTCCATGGTTGCAAACAATTAAGGTTCAAAGTATGTTGACATGTTTTAGCTCCTCCCATTGTATCTATCCCAACCCATTCTGCGTTGCATAATTCTTCCCCAAACAGAGAAAGGCCAGTGAACAGAGAAAGCAAACAAAGCAACAACAGAGGTTCAGTAAGTACCACACTATATAAATGCAAGCAAGCAAAAAGCAAAAACTAAGAAATAAAAGGTTTGATACAACACCACCACAGATTTCAAAAGTGTGTAATTAAATCAAAGTTATGAGAGCTGAATTTTTCCAAAAAGATTGGGCTTTAAAATAACTACATATATGCATTAAAACATATAATAAATATTAACCAAAGCTGGGACGAAAACCTGTCATGGCCAGACCCAGGGTTCATGTGTTTTTGGGCTTGTCAGTATTTCTTGGGTTTATCTTGAGCTGGCTGCCCTCGCTGGTCGCCCCGCCATGTGTCTGCTTATCAGCTGATTATCATTACGTGCAGTCTCCCTCTTAACTGTGGGGCTGAGCTTCAGGCAACCCTGGATCGTTGAGTTTACTCAGCAGTACATCCCCGGCCTCATAGTGAAGACTTTGTGTGTGTCTTGTCTTGCCAGGATTTGTTAATGGAGTGTTTCACAGGAGCGGGGCCACTGTACAGTTTGGGATTTGGAGTTTCACGATTCACGCCAAGACACGCACGAATGTGGATTTTAGAGAAATCGCCATGGGAGCCACGGTGTGGGGATTGCACGTGTTGTTTACCTTTCTTCACTGTAAATAAATTCACTGTCACTTTTGGAAAAGTCCTGCGTTGGTCCTGTTCTTACTACAAAAGTGACAAAACCCTTCTGTCCTTAATAAAAATGGTCAAATATTATTTCCTCTAATGTCAGTAAGAGCAGGTTGATTTTCCTGCCTGCAGGCCGTTCACCATGTCACGAGTGGACTGACTCTCAACCAAAAAGTAAATAATCCACATCCTATTTTGCAATCATCTGTTCTATTTAAAGTCAAAGAATGATATCCTTTTATCCTGACTTAGAAAATTTCTTTAATAACATATTTTAAATTGAAAACGTTTATTACAGAAATCAGCGTCTTCAATGATGACATATAACCCATATAATATTTGATTAAATGGTAAGTGGCATGTATTTGTATAGCGCTTTACTTAGTCCCTAAGACCCCAAAGCGCTTTACACTACATTCAGTCATTCACCCATTCACACACACATTCACACACTGGTGATGGCGAGTCTCGGCCAGACTCTTTTGGTAGAATCAGCTTCTGACATAAATCTGGCTGGATATTTGACCACACTTCTTGAAACAAAGTTAATTTAAATTGGTTGGTTTTGTGGCTCATATTCAGCTTTTAAGTATAGACCAAAGTTTTAATAGGTTTAAGGTCGGGGCTTTGGGGAGGCCAGTCCAGATGCTCCATGTTAGACTGCTTTATGCATTCAAACCAGTTTTGATGGGTTTGGGGTCATTGTCCTGTGGAACACCCAGCTGTGTCAAAGTTTCAAGCCTCTAGCTGTTGATTTGAGGTGAAGTTGAAGTATTTGGAGGTAGTCCTCCTTATTATGCCATCCACTTTATGCACTGGCAACAAAACACAGCAGAGCATGGTGCTACGACCATTATGCTTGACAAGCAGATGAAAGCCTCACCTGTACTCCTCCAAATACGCCTCTTGTCATTGTGTCCAACAAGCTCAGTCTTTGACTCATTTGACTATAAAACCTTCCTCCAGATTGCTAAAGCACATAGTTAGGGTTGGATCAGACTATTAATCATCCCTTAGTTATGCTGCAACATTCCCATGATGCAATGAGTATTTCTTCTTTAGTCACCTTTCTCACTCGCTATATGTTAATAGACCTCCCTGCTTTGAATCGTACTTGTTATTAATCTCTGTCTCTCTTCCACAGCATGTCTTTTGTCCTGTCTTCCTCCCCTCACCCCAACCGGTCACGGCAAATGGCTGCCCCTCCCTGAGCCTGCTCTGCTGGATGTTTCTTCCTGTTAAAAGGGAGTTGCCAAAGTGCTTGCTGATAGGTGTCATATGATTGTTAGGTTTTTCTGAATGTATTATAGTAAGGTCTACCTTACAATATAAAGCGCCTTCAAATTCAAATTCAAATTTTATTTGTCACGTACACAGTCATACACAGTACGATTGTAGTGAAATGCTTGGACAACTGCTCGTGACCTAAGAAAACAAAAAAGGAAAGGCTATGAATAAGATAGGAAAATAAATATGAAAAATTAAAAAGGGTAAATTTAACTAGGAAGGAATAAAAATAAATTAAGGTTAAAAATGAAATAACTGTACAACACAAATTAGAATGAAGGGTAAATTAACTGGGAAGAATAAGATAAAGATAAATATATAAATTAAAGTGAAAATAAAATAACTGTACAACAAAATACCAATATAGAACTATATAAGAATGTATAAAGAAATCTAAATATAAAAATATATACACAATAACAGCAGCTGTACAAGTATTAACCGGAAATGAAGAATATAGTGACCAGTGTTGTGGCAAAACCAAAGTCCAGTGTGTGTTAAGAACCATATGTGTGGGTCAGTACTGTGTGTGCGATTGAAGACCGTATCGCCTGCGGGAAGAAGCTCCTCCTCAGTCTCTCTGTGTTGGTCTTCAGGGAGCGGAATCGCTTTCCTGACCTCAACAGAGAGAACAGTCTTTTGGGATGGCTGAGGTCCTTCACATCTTCCTGGCCTTGGTCCAGCACTGCCTGCTGTAGATTGAGTGCAGGTCAGGGAGCTCGGAGCGGATGGTGCGCTCAGCTGACCGCACAACCCTCTGTAAGCTCGTCTGTCCTGCATGGTGCTGTTCCCGAACCAGGTTAAGATGTTTCCCTCAGGATGCTCTATGGTGCACGAGTAAAAGTTCCTGAGCACCTTGGAGGCAGTTGGAAGTCTCTCAAGCGTCTGAGGTGTAGAGACCGCTGACGGGCCTTTTTCACCACGGTGTTGATGTGACAGGACCATGACAGGTCCTGCGTGATGTGAACTCCGAGGTATTGAAGCTGTCCACTCTCTCCACTGGGCACTCGTTGATGACGGGGTCTGGTAGTTCCTCTCCTGCTTAGTGCTGAAGTCCACTATCAGCTCCTTTGTCTTACTGACGTTTAGAAGGAGGTTGTTCCTCTGGCACCAGTTCTCCAGATTCCTAATCTCCTTCAGGTAGGCCGTCTCGTGTTATCAGAGATCAGCCCACCACGACGGTGTCGTCAGCAAACTGATGATGTGGTGGAGCTGGTAGTGGCCACACAGTCATATGTGTACAGAGACTACAGCAGGGGGCTCAGAACACACCCTGGGGGCTCCAGTGCTGAGAGTGGTGGAGGCTGAGACATGTCCGCCCATCCTTACTGCCTTGGTCTGCCAGTAGGAAGTTGGAGATCCACTGACACATAGATGAGCTGAGTCCCAGATGCTCCACTGGTGGTGAGTGTGGAGGGAATTATGGGTTAAATGCAGAGCTGTAGTCTATGAAGAGCATTTTAACATAATTCCCCCTCTAGGTCCAGTGAGTGAGTGATGTGTGAGAATGAGAGATGGATCGTCTGTGGAACGATTTGGACGGTAAGCGAACTGTAGTGGGTCCAGGTGTCTGTAGTGAAGAAATGATGAGTCTCTGACAGGCGTTCAAAGCACTTCATCACTACTGAGGTAGGGCTACAGGCGATAGTCATTGAGAGAAGCAGGGTGGGTTTCTTTGGGACAGGAACAATGATGACTCTTTGAAGCATGTGGGATCACCGACTGAGATAAAGAGATGTTGAATATCTCAGTGAACACAGGAGCTAGCTGGTATGCGCAGTCTCTTAGGATACGACCTGGGATGCCGTCTGGTCCTGCTGCTTTCCTGGTGTTCACTCTCTTGAAGCTCTCTTACTTCATGCTCGGAGATGACGAGCACGTTTCCGGTGCTGGCAGTATCTTCCTGTCTGCAGCCGTTAGCGCCGCTAACACTAGCATGTTGGAGTCCTTAGCTGCAGCCTCGAAGCGGCATAGAAAGTGTTCAGCTCGGTCTGCCAGAGTCACGGCCGCGTTCGTCATACCGGTTGTTGGTGCTTTATAGTCCGTTATTGTCCTTAGTCCCGCCACGGCTCCTAGAGTCACTCTGTTGAGTTGTGACTCTAGTTTCCTCCCGTAGCGCTGCTTCGCCTCTTTCACCGCCCTCCGCACGTTATATGACGCGGCTTTGTACGGGTCCATGTTTCTGAACATGCCCCAGTCTGCGTCATCGAGTGCGTCCTGTACGCGGCCACCGATGATCCGTCCAGCGCGCGACCTTCCTCTGAACCGGAACTTCCTGTTTCAGCCTTTGTTTGTATTTTGCATGAGGAAGATGGCGGCGTGATCAGATTTGCCAAACGGGGGGCGGGATTGTGCCTTGTAGCCGTCTTGACCGTAGTGTAGCGTGGTCCAGTGTCCTTTCACCCTGGTGGGGCAGGTGATGTGTGATAAAAGTTCGGCGCTGCGCGTTTGAGGTTGGCGCTATTAAAGTCCCCCGTCACAATAAGCGCAGCGTCCCGGTGTTGTGTCTGGTGCTGTGTGAGTGCCTCATGCAGCTCGCATAAGGCGGTGACCGTGTCCGCTTGTGGTGGAATATAAACGGCACTTACAATGACCGATGTAAATTCCCGAGTAGATAAAAGGACGACACATGATGGACAGTAGTTCCAGATTTGGTGTGCAGGAGCGTGTGAGAGGAACAACGTTCGCACTGTTGCACCAGTTGTTGTTCACCATTAACACACGCCGCCTCCCTTGACTTCCCCGAGTCCCGTGTCCTGTCCATGCGGTGAACCGAGAAGAACTCGGCCGGCTGGATGGCGTGGTCCGCACGCTGGGTTCAGCCATGTCTCGGTGAAGCAGAGGAGATTGCAGTCCCGAATGTCTCTCTGGAACTTTATCCTGGCCTGAGGTCGTCAAGCTTGTTCTCCAGTGACTGGCGTGGCGAGCAGGATGCTAGCAGAGGTGTGCGGTGTGCACGAGCTCTCAGCCTGTTCCTGACGCCGCTCGCTTCCCTCTAGGCCGCCGCCGCTTCCCTTTGTTCTCCCTCGAGATCTCACTCGGCCAGCTCGGATCCGGAGTTAAAAACTTCGAATTGTGAGTACATTGTAAACCATAGAAACAGAGTGTCACTGTCATACCTAATTACCCAATGGTGATGATTTTGCCGATTTAGAAACGCTGAAAACTAACTTAAAAAACAAAGACAAAGAAAAAGTGGTCGGAGCAGTCGTGACGGCAGCCGACCTCACCGGCGCCATCTTAAATTGCATGCGTGTGCAACATCACGGCACAAACATCCACCGTGCTGTGAGCTGCCACAAACACAGTTTAGCATTATTATTATTTAGCCTTAAGGTGATTGTTGTTGTGATTTCTACTGTATAAATAAACAGAATTTAATTGAAATTATAAGGATTTGGCTTGTCTATGTGAGCAGCTACAAACTTCAGCCGAGCTTGAAGACGTTGATTTTGGAGCAGTGAGACGGTGACGCTGGCGTTCCCACAGGTTGTAGTTGATGGCAGCTTGAGCTTTGGTGGTTGCTGGGTGTGAGCTGGGTGTGGACGGGCCCAGGTAGGAGCATTTTGAAAGTGAAAGACATTTATTTTTCCACCAGACAACAAGACAAACACTTCTGGCCATCACCTCCACAGACAGATTCCAACACACTCAGCCCCAACAACACCAGCACCACACTAAGACCACATGTGCTTAGATACTATTAGGAATACACCGTAAGACAATTCAAAGTGTGTTTGCACAAAAATAAATACATAAATAATTGTATACATGTGTAAAACACTTTACTAAACTATTTTCAATCTCCATCTATATTTACAAACCCCTTAATGCCTAATCCCCATTCTGTATGTGCTCTCAGGCCATTAAATACCCTCCAAACTACAGCTGAAAGATAAAAACTAAAAACTGTCTTATGCAACTTTAAACATGAATAGCCTGCTTGATTATAACTCATTAGTTTCTCTGTGCCTGAATGACAGAGTTCTGTTATAAATTTGTTAATTTAAACAAGTTTTTTGACTTCTCTTCCTGCCATCAATTGATGGAACTTTTTAAAAATTTTTAAGCTCTGTTCCAGTCTTACTGATCAAAATGACTTTCAGTCTGTAATATGTGTGTAACCTCTTCATATTGACATTATTTAAATAACAATAATAATTTTAAAAAACGAAAGTATTCAGGCTGGTATCGTACCTCTGTGTTTCTGTAAAATAAACCACTGTCTCCAGTACGCCACAGACCAGCTCGGCAGATTCTCAAATTTACCTTCACACAACTGTTCACCCGTCAGCTGATTAACGACTACTGCTGATTTAGGAAACACGCCCACTTAAACTCGTGATAATCAAATTAAGGTCGAAGTTCTGGCTCCACCCATTCTATAAAGGTTGTACAATGTTTTTACCCAAACTTTAATCAGTGTACATACAGATAAAGAATAATTAACAGAGAAAAGCAAACAAAGCTGGCTTTTTCCAAACGGATTTGGGTTTGAAATAACTACATTTATTAATTACAACTTTATTACAACAAATAGAATATAACCGGGTGGGGGCTTTCGGTCCTTAATAAAATATGCCAAATTTATTTCTTTTAATGTCACATAAACAAAAACACATGTGGCAAAATCACTTTTACCACGTCTAAGGTGTACCCTGCCTCTTGCCCTATAACAGCCGGGACAGGCTCCAGTCCCTGAATTAGATAAACGGAAGAGAGTGGATGGATGCTACTGCATGTAGCTGTTAAAACCGTGGATCAACAGCTTCAGGCATACGTGTGCTGCTGTTACAAGTTGGACTCACCATTAAGACTTCTCATAACACTACTTTCAGTCCTGTAAGTCAGTGTTGACACAGTTGCTATTCAACTGTGTACTTCTCTAGTGGCCTGATGCTTGTATTACACACAGAGTAACATCCCAGTAGGGTTTCTCATGCTGTGTGTGGTGTTTTTCAGTCCCAACTCCATCCACTGAGGAAGATCATGTAACAAGGTTAAAAGCTGAAGAGCTGTCAGACTTCTGTTAATGGACTTTTCATCCATCAATGTAAGGGCATATCAATAAAATTTATTGGTGCTTTTCATATTTTAATTTGTCATTTTAACCACATAAAACACTTAAGCAGACACACATTAGAGTATAAAACCGATTAAAATAAGGTGAGGAACATCTTCCTGCATAGTGTTACAGTGATTTAAAGAGCGGCTGATCTAAAATAAAATGCTTAACTGTCATGTTTTTGGTTGCTTTGTGTAGTTCTATTCAGCTGAGAAGGTGCAGTAGATTCCCCAGTGATCACTAGTATAGCGTCCACAGTCCAGCTTCTCCAGCCCCACCAAGGCCATGTGATCAGGGGCCAGACGTGGGACTCCACGTCTGACGCCGGGCGGAGGTAGATTCTATCAAAGCGGAAGCGAACAGGGTAGGAAGCTTTCTTGTTGTTGTTGGCAGAGGTGTCCCACGTGTAGCGGCAGTGCTCCTGCTTGCCCAGTCGCTCCCACACATCACAGACAGTTGCAGGCAGGCCCACCTTGGTCACCTGAGACGGGTCCAGAGAAAAGAGTTACTGTGATTACTTGTTATAAGTTACTGGCTGTATGTGAGTGGAAGGAGCAGCGTCTGACCTCCGCATCCCTCAGGTTTGTGTCTCCCCCAAACACAACGGTGACATCATCAGGTGCATGTTTAAACCTCCACTTCACCACATGCAGCTGATTCATACGCTCTTTAGCATTGGCCTTACAGCTCTCAAAGTGGGATGTCATCAGGCACAGCTTCTGGCCATCGACGATCACCTGATTTTTGCAAAAAAAAATGTTTCTGAGCGTCACGTTCAGCAGAACTTATGCACACAAAGAAAATATCAGAGATGATTTTGCACACACCTGAGCGACAAGCAGGTTCCTCCTCATCTTAGTGGTGCGATAAGGTACTATCTCACTCTCCACAAATGTGACTCGTGACTTTTTCAGCAACATCCTGTGAAGTAACCTTCCTCAGCACCTGGTCAACACAAAGGAAGACAAAACAAAAACTATTTTAATACAAGTCCACTGACAGGTAGGTTCTCATTTATACCAGTGATCATGGGCTGGGGATTGAAAAGGGAATTGCACATTTACATGAGTTAGAGCCATTTCTATCTCATCCGTTCAAGTTATTTGAATGTGTCACAATCAAAATTGTAGGAGAGGAAATTAGTTAGAATGTTTAGGAGTTCAAACCTGCATGAACTGGAAACTGCTGGAACACCAGCATCTCTGTCCATAGTGAACCCGATTGAGAGTGTGCTGACCAAGAAAGAAGCCCCTGCTCCACATGGGCAAGTCAAATTGTTTCTGGTCAAATGTTCGATCTCACGGTGTGAAGGGTTAACTAAGAGGAGTTAACAGAGTTGAGTGTTGAAGGCAAATTGCTAAACACTTACAGAGCACAACACAGAGCAGACAGGCTGCTTGTTCTTGGGTGTATGATAACAGGGTGGTCTAGTCAACAAGAAAGAAAAACTGACTTCATTGTGTCAGTTAAAGCTGACATCAGCATGAAAATAAAACATCCCTGGTAACAACTGTAAGGTAGGGAGGGTTTCCTCACACAGGAGAAGATCCCGGACTGACAGAATAACTGAAAAATAAGACAAAGCTGAAGAAGAACTGCCCACTGAACTGCTGATAATGTCGCATTATAACCATGATGTGCTGCAGGATGTGGAGACGCAGCAGCGGCCGTGAGAAGGAGGGAGAAGAGAACATAGAGGAACAATGAAGGCTGTTTTTAGTGTGGCACACATGAAGATTGGGTTACGGAAAACCAGGAAAAACTAAGGCAGACTGACTCAGAGTGGAGGTTAAGAAAGGGTCCTGAGCATCACAACAAAAGGTACACACATCCTAACAGCAAATGCATTAACCCGTTTACTAACAAACAACACACACACACGCGTGTAATGCAGACCAGCTTATACTCATAAACATGCCATATCTCCCATTACTGTTAAAATTGGAAAACTTAACAGACACTTACTGCTGACCGAGACCTTGCAGGACAACAGGTTGATTTTTAATAGACCGGTGCCTCCAATTAGTGATCAGTCAACAAATTTAGTTATAATATGTTAAAATTATAAGATGCTTTCTAATGATTAAACAACACGTGAGATTAATTAAATAAAGGAAATGATCTTTTATAATAGTCTTTTAAAAATAATCTTTTAAACTTGCATTTCTATTGTTGTCATGCTGTCCTGTCAACTTGGTGGGTTTAGGTTTGACATGTAAACTAGATGACTGCCATTATTTCAGGGAAAGGGGATTTATCTTCCATCGTGCAGATGATTAAATGAGTGCAGTGACTCCAACAGACTGTTGATTTTCCTGTTTCTGACAAACATGTGAAATTTGTACCATGACACACACACACACATCTGATTACATAGAAACAAACGCGCTGCATGTAACAGCACATGGGTCAGAGGGAACTGATGAGCAGTTTGAGAAAAAATAGTACAGAGGTACAGGAAACTGAGTATTTAACAAAAGATAAGTATGTAATTCTCACTGACAAAACTGTTTTCATAGAATACACGACAGCATTTATAACATTTCAAGGGCCAAGGTTCCTTCGACTGCTTTGCATCTATCACGCAATGAGGAAATAGATAATAGACAAATACTGCCTGGCTTTGTTTTATAGAAATGCAAACGATGAAGGACTTTGAACCATATAAGTTGTAATCTGGCATTAACAGAGCATTCTTTAATCCTCTTCAACCCATTGGCCCATAAAGCGCCTGATATCTCTACTTCCATGTCCTTAATGAGGAGTGTATCAACTCTTTTATTGTCATACATTGCAATTAATGTTAAACAGAAGCTTTATCAAAAAATACATATCTCTTAAAATGCCGTTTAAGCATACCTTTCTCTGGATTCTCACCACCTACCCGCTCTTCTTAGTCTGAGTCTCCACCCTTCTGTTTATTTTCAGTTGCTCTTGGAGTGTTAAATTTTTGTGCAAACATAGCAGTAATAATACAAAGGAAAAGCTATCAGATTACACATGGAAATATGAAACAGCAGGTACAACATTCATCACCAAACATCACACACACCCTGCTTTCGTGCCGTTCTTTTTTTCCCTGTCATGCGACTTCTTCTTACATCCATTTGATTTCATGTGGCTTTAGGTCCACAGTGGAATCAGCAACCCTTTACTGAACATAATAAATGTAATTTATCCATCTGTCTTTATCGTCGGTGTCTAACAAATGTTCTAAGAAAGGTTGCCATGGTGTGAATTTGGTTGTGTGCTTTATCCTTATCAGTGACCTGTCCAGGGCCACCTATGACGTGGCACGTAAACACTTTAGAGTCAGCCTCAAAGATGTCCTTGGAACTGTACTATGAGGGGATAGTGCCTGTGACTGAACCGGTGGATAAATGAATACAACAAACCATGATCTAACTTTGAGACCAATGCCCTTCATAGTCTGAGGTAAAACCAGAAGCTGCCATGTGTTTCCGCACAGCCAACGTACATCAAATACTTTTGATCTGGATTTTGCAGCAGAGCGACAGATCAGCATTTTTCTATCTATGCAGTGCTTTGTGATTTTTACTGTTGTAAGGTAATCGGTTTGACATAACAGCATCAATAACACTGTGATAACAGTTTAAAACATCCCAGTGCTATTTACAATTAGCAATTATTGTGCCTACATCACTGGTGCCACTGGGGAAAACAAAGCGGTCGGTCACATTTAGCTCCGAAAGAAAAAGTTCATCCTTTGGGTGCTCAAAGCATGTTTGAGGCCCAGTGAAACCCCTTAATGAAGTGGAATGACCACAAAAGTCTAGTTTAGGGTTTCAGATGATGTTCAGAATTCAGTAAATATGACAAAGGAATGTACAGCTGTTGTTATATTTACTAGCATAATGTGGATCTAATGCACAGCTTTCTTACGTGTCAGGAAGCAGTCTAGCTGCCATACAGAATGAGTACGAGTAATTTGTTAGTCGAGTATCTGTGAAATTTGCATACTTTAATTACTGTATTTACTTTTAATAAAATCAGGACTAGAGAAGAGTTTGAAACACAGCAATTCATATACAGCTTTCCTGTGTTTGTGACGTTTGGAGAGTCATGTGGATGTATCAGTAAAATTATTAGAGAAGTCTCATCAATAACCACCACAACTGAAAAACATACTGAACCTTTCAGGCAAAACCAGCCTGATTGTCTATTCAGGTGTTATCTACGTTTCATTGCTGATCC